GATAAGGTTCTAAACAAATGTGCCATTTTGGGTTGTGGCATTTTATTATACATAACTTACCTCGCTTATTGGTTGTTTTTTAATGGGCTATCTATCATCTTAGTGTGCATGTAAGTGGCTCATCTCAGCCCTTATTGATTTCGGCTCCATCTACCTCATCACCGTGAGTCACTCTTGTGACAGGTAGTGCAGCGTTCAGGTGTTCCCTTTGTGTGTGTCATGTTTGTGACTCACATGTGTCCCTTTTGTGACGAGCATTTTGTTTCAGCTGAATTTCTATTCCATTTTTTCCTACCTGAAGCTTTGTTTATACTTTTGCTTATTTCTCTCTTCTAGCATGCTGACTTTCAATGGTCTCGGGGCTGCTAAGTTCTTTTCTGCCCTTGCTGTGGGGTTCCTTTTGCTGGATGGAGCACTTCTGTGGCTTGAGGTGTCTAGCTTATGTATAAAACAAAACCAGTAAGCAAATTGTCTGCTTTTGGAGTGTTACATTTCCAAGTTTGATGGCTTCTTTTGATTTGCCTCAGAATTGTCCTGTCATCTTTAGAGGCTGAGACTTCTTGGTTTTACTCCCTAGTTTTACTAGTATTTAAAAATGTATATTTGTTGACATTCTATCATCAAATGCCTTCCATGTTACAAAGAAAACCACGTGAATCTGATCATAATATCCTTCTCTCTCCTCATGGATTTCAGTCTTTTTAAACATAGCATTGATGACTATAAATTTCTCCCTTATCAATGCTTCTGCCACCGTCTCCTAAGTTTTGCTATGCTCTGTTTTCATTGTCATTTGTCTCTAAGTAATTTTTTCATTTCCTTTGTGATTTCTTCTTTGATCCATTGGTTTTTAAAGGGTGTTTTATTTTCTACAAAATTTGTATGTTTTCCAGTTTTACTTCTGGAATTAATGTCTTTGTCCACATTTGGTTAGAGAAGATGCTTCGTATAATATCTGTTTTAACCTATGCCATGTTATGGCATAACATGGTCTATCCTGGAAAATGTCCCGTGTACACTTGAGAAGAGTGTGTATGCTCTGGTTGTGGGGTAGAGTGTTCTGTGTATGTCTGAACAGTAAACAGTTGGTTTACCATTTCCCTACTTATTTTCTGTCTTGTTGTTCTGACCATTATTGAAATTGGAGTATTGGAGAACTATTTCTCCCTTCAGTTGTGTCAGGTTTTGCTTTATATATTGTGATAGTCTCTCTGTTAAGCTTTTATAATTATTATATCTTTTTGCTATTTTGAGCCTTTTATTAATATATAATGTTCTTCTTTGTCTCTTGTAACCTTCTTTGATTTAAAGTCTATTTTGTCTGATATTTGGATTGCCTCTCTTGCTCTCTTTTTCCTACTGTTTGCATGGAATATCTCTTTCCAGACTTCAACTTTAAGCCTATTTGTGCCTTTGTAGACAGCATATAGTTGGATTGTGATTTTTTTTTTTTTTTTTGTCGAGACAGAGCCCCACCCTGTGCCCCTGAGCAGAGTGCAGCGGCTTGGTAGTTCACTGCAACCTCTGACTCCTGGCTTGTGGGCATCCCGCTGCCTCAGCCTCCGGAAGCCTCTGGGATTACAGGTGCTCGCCGCGGCGCCCGGCTGGGTTTTTCCATTTTTTTCATGAGTCGGGGTCTCACTTTCGCTCAGGCGAGTCTCGAACTCCTCAGCCTCCCACAGTGCTGGGATTACAGGCGTGAGCCACCGCGTCCGGTGGATTGTGATTTTTTAATCTGCCTTTTGATTGGAAAGTTTGATCCATTTACATTTAAAGTAAATACTGATAAGGAGAGACTTCTTTCATTTTGCTATTTGTCTTCTATGCACCTTACAGGTGTTGTGTCCCTCCTGTGCTGCATTACTGTATTATTTTGTGTTGCATTGATTTATTTTAGTGAAATATTTAAATTCCTTCTCATTTCCTGTGGGTATACATACTATAGCAATATCGTTAGTGGTTACCATGAAGATTACATTTGCAATTCCAAAGTTATAACCACTAACTTGAATTTATGCCAGCTTAACTTCAATAACATGAAAACTCTGCTCCTTAAAAGCTATGTCCCCACCGCTTTTAGTTGTTTGATGTCACAGAATTATAACTTCACATATTGTGTGCTCTCAAACATAAACAAAGTATTCTTTTAAGTGGATTAGCCTCTTCAATTATATAGAAAACAAAATGTGGATTTAAAATCTAAAGTTATATCAATACCAGCTTTTAGGCTAGTTAGCTGTGTTTTAAAAATATTTGTCTTCAAATCATGTAGAAAACAAAAAGTACTGTTACAAACCATCATTACAGTACTACTGGTTTTTATAATTGCCTAGGAATTTATGTTTATTGAGATCTTTATTTCTTCACATAGCTTTTAATTATTCTCTAGGGCCCTTGCATTTTAACCTAGAAGATTTTCTTGAGCATTTCTTTCAGGGAAGGGTTGGGGCTAACGAGCCCCCTTAGCTTTGTTTATCTGTGAGAATGTCTTAATTTTTCCCTCACTTTTGAGGGACAGTTTTTCTGGATGGAAGATTCTTGATTAATAGCTTTTTTTTTTTTTGGATTTTGAATTAGCCCCCTGCCTTTTTTTTTTTTTTTTTTTTGAGACAGAGCCTCAAGCTGTCCCCCTGGGTAGAGTGCCGTGGCATCACAGCTCACAGCAACCTCCAACTCCTGGGCTCAAGTGAGTCTCCTGCCTCTGCCTCCCAAGTGGCTGGGACCACAGGCGCCCGCCACAACTCCCGGCTATTTTTTGGTTGCAGCCGTCATTGTTGTTTGGCGGGTCCAGGCTGGGGATTCGAACCCGCCACCTTAGGTGTACGTGGCTGGCACCTTAGCCGGTTGAGCTATAGGCGCCGAGCCTGCCCACTGCCTTCTAATGAGAAATCTATGAGTAATCTTATTGAGGATCCCTGGATGTGATGAGTTACTTTTCTTACTGCTTTCAAGATTTTCTCTGTGTCTTAAAAATTTGATTATTCTGTGTCTTGGTGTAGATTTCTTTGACTTCCTGTTAGTGGGAGTAGTTAGATGTTATATTCTGTTCTTTATCAAATTTGGGAAGTTTTTGGCTATTACTTCTTTAAATATTCTCTCTGCCCTTTTTTCTTTCTTTCTTTTTTTTCTGGATCTCCTGTAAGGTATAATTTGGTCCATTTAATCATGTCATATAGGTCCTATAGGTTTTGTTCCCTCTTCTCAATTTTTTATTTTTCTGTTCTTGAGACTTGATAATTTCTATTATCCTATCTTCTAATTTTGGCTGATTTTAAAATTGTGCCTGCTCAAATCTCCCTTTGAATTCCTCTAGTGAATTTACCGTTCTAGTATTATACTTTTGCAACTCTAGAATTTCTTTTTGGCTTCCTTTTAGTTTTTCGAATCCCTTATTGATATTGCCATTTTGTTCATATGTCATTTTCTTGACTTTTTTCACAGTTTCTTTTAGTTCTTTGAACAGCTTTAAAACAGTTATTTAAAAAGTTTTCTTTTTAAGTAGACCTATCACTTTTTTTTAAGGAAAATTGTGTTGATTTATTTATTTTTACTTTGAATGGGCCATCTTTTCATTGTTCTTTGGATGCCTTGTGATTTTATCTTTTCTTTTTTTTTTTGGTGGAAAAGTGGACCTTTGAATCTTAACAACATGGTGATTCTGGAAATGAGATTTTCTTCCTTCCCCAGGGTTTATTGTTTTTTGATGTTGCTATTGGGTTTTGTTTGGTTTTGATTGTTCTTGGTAGTCTCTGCCCTAAGGATCAGTTATTATTTTTTGTTTTTGTTTTGTTTTCATTGTTTGTGTTTTGCTTGTCATAGGTAGTCTCTATCCTAAGGATGGGCCTGGGTGTTAATGTAAGGAATTTTCAGGTCTTTTCTAAGACTATGCCTTTACCTGGTGCAGTCGCTTTCTAATTTTTCCTGTACACAACATTGTTTTTGGAGGTCCTTTTCTTTAATGTCTGGTTCTCAAAGGGAGAGAAAGGGAAAGATGAAAGCAAAGTGATTCACTTCAGCAAAAGGGGGAGGAGCTTGAAAATTTGGAGGAGGAGCAATGACAATGGGCACCCACCTCTTCGTACCTCTGTGAGTGGAGCGTAGATCCTGATATTTAGAGAGCAGTATCCTTTTTGCTCACACTGACTCTAGCCAGTTGTGTGCAAGCTGCTCCAGAAACAGGTACAGTGATGCCTGCCAGGGGGCTTGGTGGGTGGATAGGTAGTTGCTATTGTGCAAAGAGCTAATGACCAACATTAATGCAGTTTATCATTTAAGCGTTTGTGGAAAATTTCAAACTTTTAATTGATTCCAGAGATCCAAATTATTTGCATCAGACAGATTCTGCTTGTGCCTTTCTTGTCTAGGTGGGGATAGACGTTCCTGGTACTTCCTATTCTGCTATCTTCCCTACTGAAGAACTACTGAAGTGCATTTTATAAATTGGGAGACCCCCTCCAAAGAAACTGGGAATAACCTACAGAGGATTCCATGTCATCTTTAGAGACTTCATGTAGTGGTTACAAGAATTTGCTCCATATACTGGGGTATTTTTATTATTCCATAGTAGATTTTAATACCATTTCAGGGATAAACACCTTAGAATGGCTTGCATTCTAGTTGAGCTGAAATCTGCAAACAAAGAACCAAAGACCAGCCTGAGCCAGCGTGAGACCTTGTCTCTAAAAAAAAAAAAAAAAATAGCTGGGCGTTGTGGCAGGCACCTATAGTCCCAGCTGCTTTGGAGACCTAGGTAAGAGAATCACTTGAGCCCAAGAGTTTGAGGTTGCTGTGAGCTATGATGCCATGGCACTCTTACCGAGGATGACATAATGAGACTCTGCCTCAAAAAACAAAACAAAACAACAAAAAAAAACTTCTACAGTTACTTTAAGGGACTAATCAAAGCAGTGATCCCATTTATTAGATTGCTTGCTTTTGAATTTTATAGTGGAGTCTATTTCTCTTCTTATTCTTATTCTTATTCTTATTTTACTTTGCAGCGAGGGAGATAAATCTGCAGGATGTCAAGGAGGATTTAGAACTGGATCCAGAGGAGAACAGCACCCTTTTTATGGGTATCCTTATCAAGGGGCTGGCCAAACTGAAGAAGATCCCGGAGACAGTGAAGGCAATCAAAGAGCGCTTGGAGCAGGAGCTGAAGCAAATTGTGAAGCGGTCTACAACCCAGGTGGCAGACAGTGGCTATCAGAGGGGTGAGAACCTCACCGTGGAGAACCAGCCAAGGTAGGAGGGGATGCAATTTGTGTTTTTGATCATTCTATGTGTTGTACATTTTCTAGAGTGGGGCGTAAGTCACTTACCTTCTGTTGATGTTATTTTCGTGAACTGTAGATACTTCAGCCCATATAAACTCAGATTGGTAAAATCAGCTTGACTAGGCATAATTCAGTTCTCTGGTTTTTGAGGTCATTGAGAAATTTTAAACCATATTGTTCATATTTAAATACATTAAATGAAAAATATGGGCATGCTGTTAAATGTTGTCCGTATTCAAATACATTGCGTTTGAGTGAACAAATAAATTGAATGAAAGAATAAAGCTGTTATTGAATGTATATTGAGTACCAAGCAGCATAAATGGCCATTTATATAAAGGTAGAAATAAAGTTTGTGTGTAATTTAAAGTGTATTAACAAAGTAAATTGCACATGAACTTTATGTCCACCCTGCATATTATTTAATTCTTACTAAGTTATTAGTATCTGCATGTTATGCAGGAGAAGTGGAGCTCAGAGATGAAGCATTAGCTGAAGCTCATACAACAAGTGCCTGCTCTTAAAGTTGAACAGAAGTCCGTGTGGGATTCTCAGATTTACGATCTTTCCTTGGTCTCATGCCTTCTTCGTCAGTGTGTTGTGACAATTGCCAATAGCAAATCAGCCTCAGGAATTTTTATATTTATTTAAAACAATAAATAAGATTTGAATTTCATATTTATTATTTCATAAGAGTAACTCTGAAATTGTTGAGATCCTAGTTATGGCTCTCATACACTAGGAGATCATGTTTGCGAAACAAAATTAAGGCATCATGAACTAATGTTGTTTAACAGTAGAATAAGATGTTTGAAATTGGGACTTGCCTAGAAAATCAAAGAATCGCTATGAAAGGATCTCTGTTCCCTCCTCTTTCTTCTCTGCTTCTACTCCCCAAATCCCCAGTACATTGGACTTGTACAGTGCAAGAATTTAGCATAGGAGGAAACGGCCAATGGAAATGACAGTTTCCTATGCGAACCGAGGGCAGAGTAGAGCACACCGGCTCTTTTGCTCAAATGAGTACCTGAAGAGTGACAGTCTATAAAATGGATCATTCTTTTGTAGACAGATTTTTTTTTTTTTTTTTTTATTGTTGGGGATTCTTTGAGGGTACAAAGAACTGGGATACGTTGATTACATTTGTTAGGTAAAGTCCCTCTTATCCTGCCCCCAAAAGGTGTGTCACACACTGTTACCCTCCACCCCCCCTCCCTCCTTCCCTCTTTCTGCTCTCCCCTTCACCCACCTCCCACCATGCGCTAGATCATTAATTGTCATCATATCAGGATTGAGTGCATAGGATTCTTACTTCTCCATTCTTATGATGCTTTACTACAAATAATGTGTTCCACTTCCATCCAGGTTAATATAAAAGATATAGGGTCTCCATCTTTTTTAGTGGCTGAACAGTATTCCATGGTATACATACACCACAGCTTGTTAATCCATTCCTGGGTTGGTGGGCATATAGGCTGTTTTCACATTTTGGCGATTGTAAATTGAGTTGCAATAAACAGTCTAGTGCAAATGTCCTTTATCTTATGGTAAAAAGATTTTTTTTCTTCTGGGTAGATTCCTCGTAATGGGATTGCAGGATCAAATGGGAAGTCTAGCTTGAGTTCCTTTAGACAGAATTTCTTTAACAACACATGTGTACTTAGGGCTTGAACTTTTTTTTAAAGATGATAAACTTTTTTTTTTTTTTTTTTTTTGAGACAGAGCCTCAAGCTGTCTCCCTGGGTAGAGTGCCGTGGCATTACAGCTCACAGCAACCTCCAACTCCTGGGCTCAAGCGAGTCTTCTGCCTCCGCCTCCCAAGTAGCTGGGACTACAGGCGCCCGCCACAACGCCCGGCTATTTTTTGGTTGCAGCCATCATTGTTGTTTGGCGGGTCCGGGCTGGGGATTCGAACCCACCACTTTAGGTGTATGTGGCTGGCGCCAAAGATGATAAACTTAAGGAGAAAAGATAATAGCTCATTTAGCATAGATTTCCCTAGACTGACTTCAAACATTTCAGAAAAATTAATATATTGTGTTTACATTTCTATATTCTTTTGTATATCTAAATAACATTTATTTTAATTATAGTTTAAAATTCTTCAAAAATTAATTTCCTTGTAAACTTTACTCACAAGGGCTACGATTGGGGAACGAAACTATCTCGTATCCCACTCTTGCCATAGAACGTTTCAGAGCTGCAGGTTTCTTGGGTTTTAGAGAGCACCCCTGACTACCGTGGTGTTCCTGCCCGTCTTTCAGGGTTGCTTGCTTTAGGTAAGGTTGTAAGATTGTGGTGCTTAGTAGAGTAGCACCAGTAAGTACTGTTATTTATACGCGTGCTTACATACTTGCATGTACATGTATGAATACACATGTTTATTCATTATTGGAACCGTCCTCAACTTTCCTGTTCTTTGATCACTCACATCATGATCCAGAGAAGCTGGGGGATGATTCTTTGAAATTTGCTTTTCTTCTTTCTCGCCTGGCACCAGGATTTCCACGAAAGACCTTTTAACTCCTTACTAACAAATACTCTACAATTCTGGTTTGCTATTTGCCTTGTTGCTATAAAGTCCCTAGATGAATACCCTGAACTTTCATAGGGAAATAACATTACTATATTATATATTGGAAGTGAAACAAAAGGGCACAGATCAATAGCTTTTCTGCAGATCCCATTACAGTACCCTTAAAAGCCCTGCATCTTTCATAGGATTTTGACCTCTTCCTTTTCCCTTGCCTAAGCGCCTTCCAGTATTTATGAGTGGAAATTAGAGCCCTAGAAGCAGAAATTCAGCACACTGCCTCAGGAAATGCTAGCTGTTTCTCTATAAGGAATGAGTCAGCAGCAGGGTTCCTCGCCCCCCACCCCCCGAAGTTTTTCTTTTGTCCTGTATTTCTGAAAGCTTTTATAGGTAGGATATATCGGATACTAACATGTGAGCAAGCGATTTGTCTTGGTTTCATGTCTATAACATGATCCTACTTTATAAAACATACAAATCCAAAATTTGGGGCCCACGCCCTTTGTTATGAGATGTAATAGCACAGAGAGGGCAAATAATTGGGGTAAACCCCTGTGTTAGAGGAGCAGAGATTTAAAGTATTGAGTTGGGATTCCACGTGACTGATAATTCTGAGTTAGGATCCAGTGGTTGTATGCTATCAAATGCCTTAAAACTCCTCAAGAACTAATTCTCCTGAATTAATCAGCGTCATTAAAAAATGATCAGCATTGTTGCTTCCAGACGATTGGAATTTTAGAAAAAAGATACTGTCAAATTATCCCTTGAAGCTTGCGTGGTGCTTTGTGTGCGTTGAACTTTACTTAGGAAGGGAGTAGCAGCATTTATTTCAGAGAGAAGTAAAATGACAATACTCGGCATTATTATTATTATTACTATTATTTGTACCATCTAGGGAATCCTATGACTGAAAGTGTAAGAATTTGTTATTTTTTGAAAGAAAATTTGAGCACAGGCAAAAAGAATCATGAGTCTTCCCTTCCCGACATGCATATTGCATATTTTCTCCCTTGCCCTCCAAAGAAATAGCCTGTTCCAAAACATTAGCTACTCTACGACAAGCTACCAGTACAGTAACTTTCCTTAAAAGTTTCATCGTTCACCATCATCTTATTAAATATATTCTGGTTGTGATACATTGCAGGGCTGTTTTCATTTATCTTTATGTAAAGAGAATTAATGTTGTGTGCTATTTTGCTAGAAGTGTAGAAGGAACCAGGCTAGTGAATTCTGTCTTGCTTTCAATTCCTACAGAGCCAGAATGCTTTCCCAGCCAGTTTTTAAAAATCACTTTGGTGGTCCATTTATTATTTTATTTTGTTTTGTCTTTGATCTCCCAAACTATCTGTTGTCTATTTATAGGAGAAAGATTTTTGTCTTTTCTATTAATTCATAATCTATTGGTGTCTTTAAACCTTCACTTTCTATTAAAGGAAAATATTCAACTTCCATTATTGCCAACTTGATAAACATTAGGGTAACACGTGACTTACTAATTTACCAGAACCACCTGCTACCCATTATTTCCCCAGAAAGACAAGCAGCATCTTCAGCTTCAGATGGTGAATGTGGCCTGCAGCCTCTGTTTTTCAGAACCAATTTCTCTGACTCCTGCTGCCTAATTGTTGATTCTTTTCCAAAGTCTGACTCCTGAGTACTTTCATATTATTTTTATTTCAAAGAAGCTGGAAGAAGTTCTGTAATATTTAACAAATCGGAAAAGCAGAAGTAAGAGATGGATGAAAAAAATCTCCAAGGTGCAGTGTCTTGTCAAGAATATGGGAGAGAGAAGCATGTGGAACAAAGAGAATGACTGGCATGTTTGAGGCAATACTCCATGTATTTGAAAATAAGTCTCTTTAAATGTGAAGACAAAAATTAATTGCAGGGAGCGATTCTGGAGGCCTGCTCCACTGTGGTAGAACCCTTGCTCTTAAAGAGCATACAAAGGATTGAGTTGGCACCATGGCTACCAGGAGAACTTTCTTCCTTTTAGGAGATCATTCATTGACCCCAGAAAGTAGTTGTGTTTGGGTAGTATGGCTGTAAGTTTTTCTCCTTTGCTTTATAACTTATATTAAGTTACAGTGAAATACAAATTAGTTAAAAATTGATTTGTTTTTCAAATTATTTTAATCAGAAGAAATCATTAGAAATGAAAATGCTTGTTGGGGGTATATGTTTACAAAACTAAATTTTCTTATGGAAAAGTGTAATAACCTGTTTGTAGGCCAACTGGAGTGTTCATTAAGCTTCTTTTTTTGTTTCCTTGAAAGCACTTTTTAAAACAAATTTCAGATTACTATCAGGATACAAATGTTTAAGTTTCGTTGTTTGCATTTGTTAGGTAGGTATATGTGCCTGTTTGGTTATTTGTTGATTTATTGACTTCCCCTAGAATGGAAGAGAAGAGAGAACCAGCTTGCCTTGTTCAG